GAGGGAGCACTTGATCCCCTCGTCCAGATTGTTGATATTAAAGATATTAAACAAGACTGGTCCCAGTACTGAGCCCTGGGGTACACCGCTTGTGACCAGCTGCCAAGTGCATTTAACTCCATTTGCCACCACTCTTTGGGCTCAGCCACCCAGCCAGTTTTTAACCCAGTGACCGTTAACCCGTCCAAGCCATGAGCAGCCAGTTTCTCCAGGGGAATGCTGTGGCAAACGGTGTCAAGGGTGTTACTAAAGTTCAGGTAGATGACATCCACTTAGTGGGTCGCCTTGTCATAGAAGGAGATCAGGTTAGTCTAACATACTGTTTGCTGTAAGAAGATATGTGGTCCAAAAAAAAACTTCCTGTGTCACCCATGTGGGGTTCTTTTTGTCAGATAGTAATTTTTTAACAGTGCATACCTCCTTATTTATCCAGTCACAGCTTTAGTTGGTGTCCTCTGTAGTTACCCCTTTAAAAAAAAAAAGACGACCTACTTAGTATTTGTCATTGGTGGCCTTGAGTATCTTGCTACATATGTGAGAGATGATATGTAACGCTTTGAACATATATGATGACTTCTGAAAGCACTCTGAAATATGAAAAATTTCAACTTATTTATTTACACTTAGTGAAATATTAATAAACAGATTGTGGCAGTGCAGTGTCCTGACGGAGAGAGCATTTCTTGTAACTGAAAAATGGCCAGCTTGCAAATTTAAAATTGAAAATGTGAGCAGAATATAAAATACTTTCAGTTTCTGCGGAGACACTCTTGATATCCTCACCTCTGAGGGGCGATAATACAGGCAGTTACATGTTCCTATACAGTTCTGAACAGTGTGTGAAAGCAAGTACATCTGTGACGCACAAGCAAGATAACAATCTCTGTTATTATATTGCTATCAGATTCTGTGCCCCTGAAGTGTTAAATAACCTGAATGTGTTGAGTTTAATTAAACTTGAATTTGTTTTGGTGGTGGTACTAAGTAGTTAAGAGTTGGATTGATTTTTGTAAGCTTTGATAGTTTCAAGAAAACACAACTGTGTTTGCACCAGGCATATAGGAACTCTTTCCAAGTAACTTCTCTTTGTAGAAGTGTTGAATACAGGTAAATAAGTGGAGTTGGCTTTGTTTGTTTTATAGGTCTACCTCGATCTCGTAGTCAGACGTGCCTGCCTGAACTGTTAAGATTTCTGGGACAAAATGTACATGCAAGGAAAAATAAGAATGTTGATATCCTTTGGCAAGCTGCTGAGGTATTTATTAATCTAAGCATCTCTGCATAGTTCAGCTGATTTTCTGTATGCATATGTATTTTCCCCTTTTTTATTACCAATGTGTTTGAATTTCTTCATTTGCTTGCGTGTAGTTTGGAAACTCTGCCAGGTTAAACTTCCTCTAGAACGAGACATGGGGAGATAAAATACATTTTCCACATCAGTATTTTCCCTGCAACACATGCAATGAAGTTCTGCTCTCTCAAAGATGACAACTTTTGACGTCAAAGTCCTACACAACGTTTGTGTCTCTCTATAAGGAGCAGTACGGGTGTGTTCTCTGACAGAAGGTTATGCATGAGGAAGGAATGATAATTTATATATCCCATTTCTAGATATGCCGCAGACTAAATGGTGTTCGATTTACAAGCTGTAAAAGTGCCAAGGATAGGACTGCCATGTCGGTCACCCTAGAGCAGTGTTTGATCCTACAGCATGAACATGGAATGGCTCCACAGGTCTTCACTCAGGCTCTGGAGTGTATGAGGAGGTAAGACTTTGACTGCGTCACTTATTCCTAAATGAGGAACCATGCAAACTGCAGAGGAGCAGTGGTCTCTGTTTCGGTCAAAAGGGAAAAAAAGTATAAAATAAAGTCAGAAAACTGCAAAACTGACTGCCAGAATTCATCCCTCCCTTGCATGTATTAGTGGGTTGCATATGCTAAATCTGGTTGTTACCAGATTTGCATCAGATGGCCTTTAGTTTTCAGCAGTGAATCAGGAGTTTTTAGAGGAGCATGTGAAAACACGTTTTCCATTAATGCTGAGCTTACAGAACAGGAAACTGGTGCTGCTTTGCAAGTTGTTTAATGATGAGTTTACCTGGACTGTCATAGCACTGGGTTTCTTAGTTCTAGATCAGGCAGATTTTTCAGGGATGGCCTGTCTTTTGTTCTTGGAAACACAGACACCTGCAGTTTGCACTGGTTTGCCACGTGTATTCTTTAGCAGTGAAACACTGGTCACTAGGCGAAATGTCAGTATGAGTGTTTCACAGTACAGCAACCAAATTTCATCACAACGTGTCACTGTGCTGTTGTCATATCAGTATAATGATGTTCTGTATTCTGAAGCAGCAGAAATGTTTGCAGAATTAAAGACCGTACTAAAAAAAAAAAAAGAAAGAAAATCTGTTTACTGTTGTTCAATGCCTTGTTTCAAGCACTGCTGGAAAACTCCGTAACTCACATACCAAAAGAAAGGATAAGAAATCTAGCTTTAGTCTTTATCAATGTAGTTCAACAATGCTGTTCAGTCCTGTTTTTCAACATTCACTCTTACTGAATGTACTGTACTGTGTGTCTTCTCACCAAATTCTCTAGAGTGTTCAATTCTCTTATCCTTTCTGTATGTTTTTGCTGTTTGACCCTTTCTTACTCTTCAGTTACCTAGAAGGAAAATGTCTTATATAATAACACTTGCAGCCTCTTACACTAATAATTTGGGGTTTGTATCTACATCTAATTGGATGTCACTGGACTTCTTTATTTTTACTTTTTTGCTGCAGTTTTTGCTGCATTGTTACAGAGCTAGTACAGTACATGAAAACTGCATTCAGAGACTAATTAAACCTTGGTATAGCTTTCTGAGGAAGAAGTTATTAACTTAAAGTGGAGCTAAGCATCTCTCAAATATCTTTATTTAAATTATCCAATTTGTCGACTTATACATCTGCAAGAAAAAAAGCTTTGTGGCACAGTTGTTTCTTTAGTAAGATTAAAAGCTGAACACGTGTAATACTAGGAACCTTGTTACTTTCTTTAAATTAGTTACCTTGTTAATGTGGTTTTTTTAATGCAGTCATGGACACGTTAGAGACAGCAGTTAATAATAACAACATTGTTTTGGACCTTTGGACTGTCAATTTAATGTAATATAGGATCAGATAAAATACTGACCCAAGAAACGCATTATGTTGACCTACACAGGGATATTGAAAGAGGGCCAGTTTAATCAAAACCTTTGTCTCGTGTTCTAGCAGCATCAGGGACGGGTGAAAGACATGACTTTCTCTTCTGTTAAATCTTTGACTAAGAGAGATTATGCAGAACAAATACTGACTAGGCCTGAAGGAATACTAAGATTAGACCGTTCTTCAAGCCCATCACTCTTTCTTCCTCACATCTCATTGCTCTTTGGGGTAGGTGGTTGTGTTTTTAAAATTATTTCCCAATTCTGCTCAGGAATTATGGCACAGAATTAACAAAGCTTAACAAGATAAATAGCATTGTGGAACAAATATGTAGGAGTCCAGCTCCACCCAAACCCGCTTCAGCCTGGACAGGATGACCTGACCTAGATGACAGACACAGGAAGTGAAAGGGTAGCAAATTACTTCCATGGCATTCAGAAAACTTGCTTTTTCTTTTAACTTGGGTCTCTTATTTGTGTAACTGTACTGGAAAAGGAAGGCTTGGTTCAGTCTTGAAGACTTCTGAAGTTTCTGGGGCAGTTGGAAGGACAGGAAAGAAATATTATTAAGTTGTTGGACTCAAAGGAAGTATTTAATCTCTGCTAGTAACTTTCCAGAGAAGAAAAACATCCTCGCTTACACTATTCTTGAAAACTTAAGAAAGCACCCTCTTCTTCCATGTGATGTTGGGCTTCAGAGGTGTTAGCTCCCACTTACTCATCCTCAGGGACTTCCTTTCCTCCCTAGTCTTGTGATAATTATGTTCAGTGAGCGTGGACATCAGGGAGAGAACATTGAGTCCTCGTAGATTCTTGTAGAAATCCACAGATACGAGTTTGTGGCTTTCACCTTAGAAACAAATATCCTATTAGAATAAACTCACTTTTCTGTAAATAAGTCACAGTTTTTCCAGTCCCAAATCAAATATATGGGAACTCACAGCCTACAAATAGTAGAATCATGATATGTCCGGATGTCCAAGCTACAGAGGAAATTACCTGCCCAGGAAAGGCAGCTCAAGAGTCAAAGCCCAACCGGATCACGTAGCCTCTTCCATCTGCAGCAGTGCCAACACTCCCCACTGGACTGTGACCCCCTGCCCTCCCTCTGCCTACCAGATTACTGTCCTGTCAGACATGCCAGTGGAGCTGTTGCAGTGAATATGCTGTAATCCAGTTTCAGTCAAAATCAGCCTGGTTGGCAAAATCCTTTACAAGTTTAAGATAGCCCAGCTCATTTTCATTAAACCAGTTAGGAAGTTGCAACACAAGCAGTTCAGCCGACAGAGAAGAGCTGTCTCTGATAGGGACTCTTGAAAAGCAGCTGGAAATGGAGTGAGGGAAATAATCTCTTCTAGCTGCCATAGTGCTGACTAAAAAGACTACGTAATAAAGCCCTGACGGTCATGTTTGTATATGAGCAGCCACCTCAATAAAACAGCCATGGTAAAAGGCTTGGTTGGATTTCTTCACTGGTTGACCTGCTTTAAGAATAAAATTGTGGTTGGTTGACCTTGGCCACCTGCCAGACTCCTGTTCAGCTGCTCTCTCACTCCCCCTTCTCAACAGGACAGGGGGAGAAAATACAATGAAAAAGCTCATGGATTGAGATAGAGACAGGGAGATCCCTTGCCAGTTACTGTTACAGGCAAAACAGGCTCGGCTTAGAGAAAATTAGTTTATTACCAATAGATTTGGATGGTAAGAAACAAAAGACAAAACTTAAAACACCTTCCATCCACAACCCCTTTTGTCCCAGGCCCAAGTAGTTCATTCTTCGTTCCCAACTACTCTACCTCCTCCCCACACTGAGCAGTGCAGAGGGGATGGGGAATGGGGGGTTGTCAGTCCGTAACAGCTCAACAGCTCCTCTCTGCTGCTCCTTCCCACTCACACTCTTCCCCTGCTCCAGCGTGGGTCCTTCAGGATAAACCTGCTCCTGCATGGGCTCTCCACAGGCACCAGTTTCCTTCAGGAAATCCTCATCTGCTTCACCATGGGGACCTCCACGGGCTGCAGTGCAGATATCTGCTCCACTGTGGTCATCTCAATGGCTGCAGGGGAATCCGTGCTCCAGCACCTGCAGCACCTCCTCCCCTTCTTCCCTGGCTTCGGTGCTCACAGCCGTGCCCAGCTTGAGGCAGCCCCAGCCTCTCCTCACGGAGAGGGTTCCCGTACGTAAACTAGATTAGCGGGGAATTTGCTTTGTCTCTTTTGTCCTGGTCCTCTCCTAGAGGTAGTCTGCTGAGGAATGTTTTGATTTAAGACACTGTACAATGTGGTATATTTGATATTTCCAAAAGGTGACTTTTCACCCCTTGGGTGGAAGCATCTACATGGGCCAACAGTGACAAGGAAAGCACTTTCCAGCTCTTGCCTCCGTTGCCACTGTACGTGTCTGTGCGTATGTCTTTGTGTAAAACTGAGTAGCTTGATACTAATTTTTAATGGTAGAGATGTGGCATGTGCTGTTCACAATGTCATCTTCTCATTTTGAGCCTTTCTTCCTTCTTTCCCTCTCCCACTGTTTTACTTATATATATATCCTAAAACACTTTCTTCCTCCAGACTATTCTGTTGAGCCTTTATCCACCACTTTCCAATCAACATTAGCTTTCCACTTACTGATTATCCTGATCACACACACACACATCTCTGTGCCACCACAAAGGTAATGGGGATTTGTAGGCCTCACAGATTCAATCTGCTCTTATCCAGTGTAGACACCAGGGGTGAAAACATATTTTGATGAAGTACAGTTGGTTTAATTCTGAAGGCTATTTTTCTCTTTCACCACCTCCAGGATATCTCTGATATCTTCCAAGACATTGTCTGTCGGTTACCCAACCTTGCTACGCAACCAGCAAGGTTATGTATCGCTTTTAATGGATGGAGTGAGCGCACTTGTTCTAACAGAATCAGCCTCACAAGTTGCATTTAGTTGTTGATGTGTAAATTAAAAACAGAGTTGACCTGCACGGCGTATAGGAGCGATCCAAACTGAAACACCACACTACGAAGCCTTGGTGCAGAGATGTTCTCCGCTGTAGGCCTTTGGTGCTCAGAGCAATGTAGGAAGCAGGGGCATAATGATATGGGCTGTGCAGCATGTCTCACCTTCACATGCGTATATTGAGGCACTTCAGAAACATGCGTTTTGGAAAGCATATTGATACACACTCGAATTCATGCTGAAGCAGAAAAATAAGTTGGTGGTTTGGGGGTTTTTGTTTACCTATTGAACAGGTAGTTAAGAGGTTAAATTATTCCACTGCAGCCTACATGGAAAGATGTTTGAAAGGGTCAAATACTACAATGGTTATTCATGTTCAGCTTGCTTTTCAGAGCTCCACTTCTTTGCAGCATGCGGAAGCATGGCAGAGCAGCATGGAATATTATTGCTTGGTAATCTGAAAGAATGAACATGGAAAACCATTTACGTTCAACCTACATGTGTTTCTTTTCAGTAGACTACAGTAC